AAAGGAACATTTATCGAGTCTCTACTAGATTCCAGGCAGTTTCGTCCCTTATCTTGTTTCATTCGCTCAAAAAACCTCTGAGGCCCACATTCTTTGCTTCTTTATAGATAAAGAAAGGGCCTGGGGAGGGTAAACACCCATCCAGGGTCACTCAGCAGCCCCCCACGACTTCACATGGGCTCAACCCTGTGTTTGTACGGACGGGTCTCTAAGCTTTCTCCAAGTCTAAGGTTTTGTGAGTCTATTTGTTGCTGTAAGTAAGTAAACTTCAGAAAGGATAAATACGGAAATGAATAAGACTTGTGCAGAAACGACTTCGTGTGCCCTTTAGCTTTGAGGCTTTCAACCAAGATTAATCTTTATTTTGCATTTTCTTAACTCAGATGAGCTACTTACTATGTTTGAGTACCTATGTATTTATAGATCAAATATCTAATGTAATAATTAAAATGTAGGTCTTAGATATGGAAATTTATTATAGTATTAATTGCAAAAGGTTTCTTTGTGATTATACCAAGATAGTTATTTTTAAAAGATGGGGGTAGAGTTGTTTCAATTAGATCCAAAACTTACCTACTGTTAACTGTGTGGTCTTAGCTCAGTTCCCTTGTCTGTATAATGGAGTGATAATAATACCTAGCTCACAGCATTAAAAAATATATACATAATAGTTTATTTTTACATCACTTTGTGCCTTTTTCCATCTTAGTTGGACCCCCCTTGGGCTTCCCATCACCCAATCACCTGTGTGCCATCACCACACTCCAGTGCATTTCCCTCCCCCCACTGTTTTTGATCCCATTCCCCACTCCACCCCCGTAAAATGTTTCTGGTATATTGTTATTCATTATTATTATTATTTTCTTGCCTGGTCCTTTATACTACTGCTATGAGTGAAACCATCTGGTATTTGTCCTTTTCTTTCTGGCTTATTTCACTATAGCTCATGGCATTTTTATGAGATTCAATCATATGATTTACTTCCATTTACCTATGGCACTATGCACACTCTATAGTTAATTTTTAAGCTCTGTTAGCTATTGTTAATATTCATTTACTCTCCAGGTTAGGTGGTCAACCAATTGCTTTAGAGTCCTTTGACTTCTGAAGTTGCTTCTGAAAGCATACACTTTCTACAAATGTGGACAGGACACAACATTACTAGAAGGAATCTGAGAAAGAAGATAAAACCACAGTTGCCCACAATCATAATGAGGAAACGAATTTAGCAAAAACCAGACCCGGGCAGGTCTTGCCTCCTCCGGGGTAGCACATGTGTGATCAGAGGCTCCAAGCTGGGTACACGATCCATGGTCCCATCAGACTTCACTCACCCAAACATAAAGATCAAATTATTAAGAATTTCAAGACAGACACCAAAGAGCATTATACCCCAAGTGCCACGCCTTCTGAGTGTGGGTGGCTGTTGTGACTTCATGTCCAGGAATTCCACGCTGCCTCTAGCCAACACAAGATGCTTTAAAAAGGGTCTCATTGTCAACAACGACCTCTGCGGTGGATGACCTTGTCCTATTTCCCAGACAAGAAAACACAGATAAGATTTTTTTCCCTTACCCACTCACAGGGTTAATAGGGTAGGGAGAAATTCAACACCTGGTTCTAAAGCTGTGTGTGCCTTTTCTGCTAGCTGAAGCAAAAAATTAGGCTGAGAAAGTCAGTGCAAAGAGGTATGACAAACAAAATTGAAACAAAATATTTTTGCATATAAAAGAAAAAGTAGGGTCCTCCCTGGTAGTGCAGTGGGTTAAAGCACAGCATTGTGAACCTGGCTGCAGCCGCTTCAGCAAGAGTTCCAGCCCTGGCTAGGGAGTGACCCACATGGCATAACAGACCTCTCCTGTCTCGCCGGCTGCTTCCTTCAGCAGTGTAAATCGTCAGTCAGCCTGTTCTGCTCCCCGCTCTGTCTCTGGTGAATCCTCTCACGGCCCCTGCACCTCAGGCTTATACCCCAGTTTTGTATGAATAAATAAAATCTAAAAAAAAAAAAGAAGAAAAGTATGAAAGTTCGGGCTAGTTCCCCCTCTTGAACACCATCTGCACCCTGTAGCCTCTGATCAGTGTTATCCTTTTTACCCCCCATTCAGCAGTGTTTCTTGGACCCCCTCCTAAATCAGTTTCACAAGGAGCTCATCATTCTTATGGATGCACGGTACTTGTGTAGATGACAAGCAATGTGGCAAGGAATAGCCTCGAACACATATCCTTGCACACATTTACAAGTGTATATGAAGGATAAATTCCCAGCAGGAAAACTTCTAGGGTAAAAGGTATATGCTTTTATGATTTCACTATTGACAAGTTGACGTCCACAGAGATTATTTGTTTATACAGCCAAGTAATCGATGAGAGCACCCATTTTTTAAAATGGTTTCCCAGATGACTGCATTGGCTTCCCTGCTTAGGACAGACACTAGCAACATGTATTGAGGTTGACCCCCGCAGAAGCCAGCTCCTCAGCCCGTTATAGACTGCTCCACTGTGTCTTAAAGGAGACATCTTTTGCACTCCAGACCTTCGCTTTCACTATTCCCCTGGGGTCCTCTGCTTGGGCAGGGAATCTCCAGCCCAGAACTGTCTGGTAATAAATCACACTTCTGAGCCCTTACTCTGTTTCTCCCACCTCCGGCCCAGCTCTCTCTCCTGTATCAGTCTGGAAAATTCTGACTCCTCCTTTAAGACTCAGCTTACAGGTGGCCTCTGCAGAGGCTTCCCTGCCCCTCCCTGGCAGAACCGGTCACTCCCCTCCTACCTCCCTTCTGGGTGTCCGCCCACGGAACTCATATGGATCACCTGGTGGGGTAACTGTTTACAATGTTCTGCCTCTCCAGGGAGGCCTGGCTCACACTTCAAACTCATCTGTGACTAAAATTAAACTGGCCAGAGAGGCAGGGTGGCATGGAAAGGCCATAGGCCATCCTCTGTCCTACTCATCACCTGCCAGGTTCCGCCCTCCAACCCCCCCTCACTGGCCTTCACTCCTATTACCTCAGCCCCCACCCCTACTCTGGACCACACTCCTGCCCACCACAGGGCCCTTCAAGTGCTCTTCCCAGGTCTCTCTCATCACTGCACAGCTTCACTATCACTTTCTGTGAGCCTTTCTTGGGGCTGAATTTGAAGGCACGCCTCTTGTTCGGAGCCAGGGAAATGTTTTGGAATTATGGTGGTTACCTAACTGAATGTTGGAAGCCACAGAATTGTTCACTTTGAGATGGTTGAGTACATCTCAATAAATTATTTCTGAAGAAGTGCAGCAGCCACTCTGACAGGTGGGCTGACAGGTCTGAATAAAGTAAAGCCTTAAACGTCCCAGGCTGTGACTCCCGGGCAGGTACCAGGTACTGCTGTGGGTGACTGAAAGAAGGCATGGCCTGGGGGTCAGCCAATGTGGCTTTGTGGCTCTGCCCTGAGAGGTAATGATGTGATAGCAAGATAGCCTTAATTACAGCTACACTTCTAGGCTGAGTAGGAGCCAGGCAGTTTCAGGTGCTTTGCAGCTTAAACTCACTAAATCCTTTCAATTCTGAAAGGTGGGTACTATGAATTTGGGCTCATCCTGAGGAAAGTGAGGAACTGAGGCTTAAAGGACTTGTTCAAGTCACCGATGAGGAAGTAGCACAGTCCAAATGTGACCGTAGGCAGACTCCAGACCGCTGTGAAGACTCCACTCCCAGGATACCTGCCAAGGGCCGCCTCATCGTGTAAGTTAGGTGTTATTCTTTAATTTTTGAAGATTTTATTTATTTTTAGGTACAACTGGGGTACCGGCCAGAGTTGTGTGTGTGAGAGAGAGGATTCATCGGAGTGGGGAGCAGAACAGGCAGGTTGACTGAAATCCAATGCTGAAGGAGCAGCATGGAGACAGGAGACGTCTGCTGCGCCCTGTGGATCAGCTCCTGGGCTGGGGATCGAACTCATATGCCTCAGTGGCTATGGAAAGCTTCAGTGTTGCCACTCAACCCCTGAGCCACCAGGGAGGCCCCTATTATTCTTATTTTTAAACACCAAAGCTGCTTCCCCTACATTTATTTTCATGTTCACATTTAGTTCCACATAGTCGTCATGATTTTACCTTGCTTCAGCTTCATTTCTCTTTTTTTAAAAAAATGTTAGTTTTCAATTGAGGTGGTGTGGTTTGCAACAGCGTATGCTGGAGGGGTGTGAGCTCCCCCCTTTTCAGATGCGTGGCAGCACACCCAAGCCGCCCTACACTGTGGATGCAGCACCAGTGACTTCGCCGGGCTCCTTATCAATTAATCCGTGTTTCCCCCCAGGGTTCCCTAACGCAAATCCAGGCAAAACACGTCTCGGTTCATTTTTGGGCGTATGTTAGTATTTCTCTAGAGTCAGAGTGCCAGAGGATAAATTCCTCGCACAGGGGACACACTAACTGACACACGACGACGGCTCACGGAGAAAGCCAAGTTGCGCCCGGCGCTGAAGGCGGGCTAACAACTGCTTTCCCACACCTCGCACGGGCTGCAGGGCATCCGTCCTTCAAGAGCTTTGCCAATGTGACGGAGGAGGTGAGGGAGATGAAGCCCAATCTCGAGGGGCGCATCTGAGGCTCAGAGACGTTTAGGGGTTCTCCCGCAGAGCCCGCCCGTGACCGAACCCCGACCCAAGAAGTGCCCGACTTTGGAGGTTCGGCCGAGGCAGCGACTGTCCTCTGCGCCGGGCGCCTGGCTGCCTCAGGCTTGGCCACGCAGGCAGGCGGGCTGGCTCCGCGGGCGGCCAAACCCCGGCCGTTCCCGAGCGCCGGCCGCCCGCAGCCCCGCGGTAGGTGACCGAGGTGCCGCCGCCTCCTCAGCTCGGAAATGGCGACCGGCGACCGGCGACCCGGTAGGCCACGCCCCTTCCGGGGCCGGGCCCGCGCGCAGGCCAGAGCGAAGGATCCCCGAGCCAGCGGGAGGTTGGCCGCCAGGAGGGCTTGCGCAAAAGCCGGGAGCCGGCGGCGCCGCAGGTCGGGAGGAGGAGCGCCGAGGGGGCCGCGCTCGCCGGGGCCGCCCGAGCCTTCATCGCGGGCACTGGGGCCGCCATCTTAGATGGCGGGAGGCGGACGCCAGCGAGCGTGAGACGGGAGGCCAGCCTGCCGCTCTCCTTGGGCCCCGCGGAGGGCCAGCTGGCCGGGCTTTGGGGCGTGTGCCCTGAGGCGCGCAGCGCGAGTGCGACGATGCGGGGGCTGCCCGGGGCCCCGTCCCCTGGGCTAGGGACGCGCCGAATGTGACCGCCTCCCGCTCCCTCACCCGCCGCGGGGAGGAGGAGCGGACGAGACGCCGCCGCCGCCGCCGCCGCCGGACGACGGGACACGGAGGCGGCCCGGCTCCGTCAGGTAGGCGGCAGGGTCGGGCCCTGGACTCAGGGCCACCGCGCGGTGGGGCCGAAGGGGCCGCCCTCAGTGATTGCCGGGCCTGGGCGGCGCTGACGGAACGGAGGGCCCGGGCCTGGCCGCTGTCACCCCGGGTGGCGCCGGGCGGGTGGGGGCCCCGGGGCCCGGTGTCATGGCCGGCGAGCCGGGTGCCCACATCCTCACTCACATTTCCTTGTGTTTCGGGGAAATGGGCCAGCGCCTTCCCCGTGCCCAGCGCACTTTCTCGTGTTGGCAGCGGGAAAAACCCAGAACTGCCTCGTAGCTGTGTTGTCACTCGGACCCTTTCCTTTCCGATCGGGTGTTGGGGACACAGGCTAGCACCTTCTCTTAGGTCTGTGTCAAGGGACACTCTCAGGGGGGACGGAAATCGGGACTAGAGACGGAAATGAGTCGGTGCCCCGTGCCCCACCACAAAGGCGGGGGGCCTCGCCTTGGGTTTCGGGACCGTCTGCGGGTTACTAATGAAAGGTTCGGGATGCGTTTAACGAGGATCGGGCCCGGGGTGCTTCGGAATGAAGATCCAGGGCTGGCTTTTGTGTGAGGTGGGAGCCGCCTGGGCGCTTCAGTCCTGCAGCTGCAGAGGCTCTGCAGAGCTAGTTGGTGTCCAGACAGAGGAGTGTGGACATAGCAGAGGCGAGACGGCTGTTTTCATTCATTGTTCCCTTTCCACGGCCCTGGGTGTGCCCTCTGGTATCCATTCTGGGGTGGGAAGTGCGATAGGATCTCCCGTGCCTCCTTGACATGTTGCCCGGATTTTAGGGGTTCGCTTTACCCGAGTAGGGGTGGATTCGCCGCTCGCCCGTGGAGCGTTTCTGCCTGTCTGTGCTCTGGGTTGGGTAGGGGGAGTCTGCGCGCAGCACCTTCCCGAGGCGTCGGACAATGCACTGCGATAAGGGTGGCCGAGGTCAGCGTTTTGGGATTTTGGAGCAGCCAGTTTTTGCCTGGGGAGTTGAGGAAGCTTGTGCAGTGGAGGGGATTTGTGCTCGGAGTTTGGGAGCGCCCTCCTGGAGGGGAGGGTGGCAGGTTGTGCTAAACCAGGGAGCAGCTGGTACAAAGGCCTAAAGGCTGGCAGGAGTTGGGAGGACTTTGAGGAGAACCTGGTGTGTAGGCAGTCAGTGGTGAGGCAGGTGAGGGTCCAGAAGAAAAATTGACTGGAATGTGAGGGGTCTTTAATTGTTGACGATAGTGAGCTAGTTGATCTAATTTGGATTATTTTAAAGGAGTGTTGCTAATTCTTTTTTCTTGCTAATAATTTCCCTCTTGAGGAAGTTGAAAAGATCGACTTAAGTTGCCCACAGTTAAATTCAGTTAATGTTTTTGATTAGTGCTGTATGTCATATGTTGTGCACTTACACAATGGTGAATTTGTAGAGATTCTTGCAAAAGATTCTTTTAGAATTGTACTTGCTCACAGAAATGTTAACTTTATAAATGTGCATTACACTGATACCAGGTTTTTAAGATGGTTGACAATCTAAACCATACTTCCTAGTCATATAGAAATTGCCAGATTTTTATAAAATGTTTGAAAAAGTGTAGAATGCAAATGAGTATTTTTCAGTTTAGTATTTTATATAGTCAAATGTTTCTTTGGATTGATGCCTGGATTTCAGTTTTGTTATAAAGTCTTTCTGTTTTTAAAAGTCCTGTTCTGTTTTTAAAAAATAATTGTGTTGTGATTGTGCTTATGCTGAAATGATTATGATATCAATAGTTCAGTTAGCAGTTCCTAAATCTTTCTTGGGTTGTGATGACTTTGTATCACAGAAGAACATGAAGATTCTTTTGGCTTGTTTTCAACCTTATCACTTCAAGGGCTAAGCTGTTTAACACGCAACAAAAAACGTTTGACCTAGTTGAACACTGGGTGCTAGGGAAAATAAACCTGTTTCTGTTGTAAAAGCTTATCTTTAGGTGTGTGATGTTTGCTTACAAATGTAGGAGATTGCTTAGTCTTGAAAAAATGTGTGTGCTTGCAACGTAGAAGACTTGAGCGAAGTACAGTTGGACATATTTTATGGGATTTTGCTAGCTGGAGAAAACAGTGAGAAGCAGATTTAGCTGGTCATTTATTATGAAGAGTATCTAAAGGATGAAATGGAGAATGATTGCACATCAAGTGTTGTATTACAACTGCTGTGAAACAAATTGCTTTTAGTTGAAAACACGCCATTTGTGAAATCCAAGGTAGTTTGCTCTGAAGATTAAACGACAGCTTCTTATAAGTTAAAATTTACAGGCCACTATTACAGGCCACTAAATTCTTCTTAATGAAAAAATGCCTAATTACAAATTATTATTTCAAGTAGGTGATTAATAGTAGGTGTATGATTCTACTGCATTTTAATTTCAGATAAACCTTTGCTAGGAAGCCACTGCCTAAAAATAGAAAATGTTCCATGAGGGAGAGCTTTTGTTTGCATGTTAGGAACATAATAGGCCATACATAATAATTCGTGGTCTTGGGGAGGAGCTTGTTAGCCAGACAGCATGCCTTAATGTTGACTAGCAAAAGAGAATTTTAAATATTGCCTTTGAAAAGAGTAATGAAATGAAAAATTGAGCATTCATTTGAAAACAGAGGGGTTTTTTTGGTCTTTTAAATTGTGCAGATCTTGAAACTTATTTCTTCAAAACAAATGACACTAGCTGGAAAACTGCTCACTAAATTAATTGAAAAACAAGACATTGGTCCCTCTAGGAAGAGGTTGTTTAACACTTAAGTCTTACTCTCTGTGTGTAGAGGCATGTTTATGTATGTGTATGGATGAATAAGACTGTTTGAACTGACTTGGTTCCAAACTTAATACTTGATAATTTTTGTTACATTCAGTTAATATTTCTGGTATAGGGGTAAATTACATTGCCTATAATCCTCATGCTAGTAATGGCTGGGCATATTACTCTTCCTTTAAAGTTGTGTAGAGGTTCCTTATTTGCTTATTAAAGTTTTCATTTTTAGTTTTACTGTGGCTGAGTCATTCTGTTCCCTTCTCTCTCCCAGAATTACTTGTGTAGATCTGAATGATTTCAATAGTTAACTTTAGATCTTCTTTCTCCTAGAGAATCTCAGTTTAACCAAGGGAAATGTCAGGTGGGTGTTGTTTCTTTGTTATTAGTTTTGGCCCAGGCTATCTGAAGCCTCCTTGGCAAATCACTAAGTGTGTTAATTGCTCACATTCCGATCAGTGTACCTCGCATTTCTTGAGGAACACTTGACACATAATTTTATTTTTAGACTAGTCCTGAGGGCTTTTACTGGGTGGGGATTAACAATGCCAAAACTAGTTTAGAATTTTTAAAACCTTTGTGATTGAGAGATTATTTACATTTTTGGTTATTGAGTGGGAAGCAGTAGGGAGTGACAGTGTTTCAAGGAGACCCAATGTGTTCAGTTGCTTTGGAGCACCCTTGTGGACTTCACAGTGTCATCTTCCTCTTTCTACCTGTTGTATTTCATTTTCTGTCACCCAGTAGCGAGAGTAAGTACATCTTTATATGTATTTTGCCAAGATGCTGTCTCCAATTTATTTTCTTCCAACCTGCTTAATACTGGGATCCCATTTGGACAGGTATTTCCCTTTCTTCATTGATGTACATTTCTGATGGAAGACTCAGGCTATGTCATGTCTGTGTTTTTAAGCTTAAAATTGTGAATTTTCATTTTTCATCTGGTAATTTTGGAGGCATCCTTTTCAATCTTGGGTAGTTTTTCTTTTTTTAAAGATTTATGCATACAGAACTGGGGTACAGGCCAGAGGTGCAGGTGCGGTGAGAGGCTTCACTAGAGACGGTGGGGGCGCAGAACGGACTGATGAAATACACTGCTGAGGGGAGCAGCGGGCGGGCCAGGAGAGGTCTGCCGAACCATGTTGTCACCTCTTGGGCCGGGGATTGAACTCATGCTGAAGTGGCTTTAGCTTCTTGGTGCTGTGCTTTAACCTGCTGCGCCACCAGGGAGGGCCCTGTATCTTGGGTAGTTTTTAACATCTCTCCTTTATCTAGATTTAGGATAGGCGAAATCCTGAGTTTTCTCTGAGAGAACATGAGAGTCTTGTCCTCTGGTAAATTCCAGTAGGAAGCTCGGAGTTTCTGAGAGGTATTTGCCTGGATCCAGATAGCTCACTCAGATAGGAGCAGCTTGTTTATGGTAGAAAAAACTGGCATGAGTTCAAACTTCCAACAATAAGATAAAATAAACTGTGGTAATGGATGGGGCACTCTACTTTTCATGAAATAAAGCATGTATAAAGCATGAAATATTTATAACAGAGAAGACTGGACACAATTATATATGGAATGATTACAGTTGTATCTTAAACCCCCCCAAATACAATGGAATATTATTCAGTCATAAATAAAAATGATTGACTGATAGTTTCTCCATTGTGTAACTCTTGCAAACATGCTAAGTGACAAGAAGCCAGTCAGAAAAAATCACATGTTGAGTAATTCTGTTTATATGACATGTTCCTACTAGGTAAATCCATAGAAACAGAAAGTAAACGAGGGCTAGAGGGAGTGGGAAATAGGTAGTAACTATGAGAGGGGTTTCTTTTTTTGGGGGTGATGAAAATGTTCAAAAATTGATTTGTGGAAATGAATGCATTGCCCTGTGAATATAATAACAGACACATTTAAGTGGTGAGTTGTATGTTGGTGACTTAATATCTTAAGATGTTAAAACTCAAAACCTATATAAGAAGAGAGTACATGTTTCTTTCTTGTTAGATGTTAACTGTTAACTGTGGTTGTTAAACAGTAGATGTTCCTGTTTATACTTTTCTATACTTCCCAAATCCTCGGGTTATGTTGCTTTTGTAAACAGAAAAATACACTGAATAAAGTTCTGTTGACAACTATGTTTTAAAGCGGGTTTGAATTATGTCTACTTCCTCCGTATTCAGTCTTTTATTACTGTTTGCCTGTACTGTTAGAACTTCTGAACAGAACTCTGTTTT